GAGTTGGGGACAAAAATGATACACCTCAAAATGAGATGCAGTGGCATAGGTTCTTAGTGGGGAAAGGTACGTATTCTGAATGTTACTTGTCCCTGTGGTACAGTTTTACTTCAGTATTGTCTTATGCTGTAGAAAATTAGTAATATGTTGCCTGATACTTCAGTTTTTGTTCCATATGCAGTGTTGCTGCATTTTTAATAGAATTTTATCTTGTTTATTGCTTGACTGATTTTTGTATCATTGAATTTCCCATGCTTGGTATTTTGCCTATCTCAAGAAAATCTATTAAAAACTTTGATCTGTATTTTCCTCAACCATCCATCCATTATTTTCCATACCATGTGTAAGCCCATGATTTCCAGAAACTGGTGTTAATTGTTCAGTTGATAGTGGGATCCTAAACCTTGATATTGATTGTGTTTCACTTGGTACCCAAAAAAAAGATTTTAATTTTAAGCAAATTATACAGTAACAACTGACCATAGCTGGCTGTCTTGCCATAAGTGTTCATGCACTGAATGGCATTGCAAGATCTGGCAAGGATTGTTAAATTTGTTTGTCATGTATAGAAGTATAGAACTCTTGGTACTGGAAAATTGCATCCAATTGCACTTTGCATGTGAAATCTGAAGTACCAAATATGGCTCCCCTTCTGTCTGTGACGAGGTGACAGCAACTGGTTGTTTTGTTACCACTGCTTATTTGGTCAAACTAGAAATTTCTTGCACATTCATATTGACTATATCACAAATATTTGTATGCCAAATCAAAATTTATATTTAAGTAGTTCACAAGTGAAATCATATGCGATTCGATTAGTCTTTGTGTACAGATCTATTGTGTAAACATCACTAGAAAGAGATTGCACAAATGCATATAGTCATAACTCGAAAAAAGGAAAATATGGTGGCTTAGGGCATTTACGGTGGCGGCGGTGGAGGACCGCCCGGTGGCGGCGGTGGTGGAGGGAGGAGGCGGCATGGCTGGCGTGCAGTCCCATGGTGGCGGCGGGTGACCGCCCTCCCCGTGGCGGCGGTGTGGGGACCGCCCGGTGGCATGGGTGGTGGTGGAGGAGGAGGCAGCCTTGCGGTGGGGAGGCGCCCGGCGGCAATGGGAGGCGGCTGGCGGCGGCGTGTGGGGAGGAGGCGGCGCTGCTGCTGGGGCCCACCCCCCCCACCTCATGGGAACGGGAGCGAAGGAGGAGCGCAGGCGGCGTCGGCGGGAGGGGATCGTCGTCCGGTCTTGGGTGCTGCTCTCTCTCTCCGTCTCTCCGGTGGCGGGCGGTGTGGGGACCGCCCGGTGGCGGTGGTGGTGGGGAGGAGGCGGCGGCGGTGGTGCGTGTGTGTGTCTGTATGCGATTTGAGGGAGGCACGGCTTAGTGTTGAATGCTACATTTCGAGTGCCTAGATGTACGGCACTCGGTAAACTCAAGCACCGCAGCCCAGTGACATGTGGGCCTGGTACATGTTTACCGAGTGCCCAGATCTACGGCACTCGGTAAACATAGCCCACTGTGGCAGACAGGTGGGCCGTGGCTAACCTTTACCGAGTGTTTGAGGTCACACTCGGTAAAAGTATCCATTATTTTATGCAAAACAAAAAAGAAAAAATGCCAATTTAATCCTAAATTTCACCAAACTTTCACATGAACTATTTCATGTCATCTATTTACTATCTAAAAAATTCCAAGTTTAAATCATAATGTTGAATTTCACTCTTAATAGAAATCCTACTCGTCAATGTGAATGTTTAACATCTCTTTGGGAGATGTACCGGTTCGGCAGCGACGAATGTAAAAATACTTCCGAAACGTTATGAAAATTTTTCTATAACATAGATGTATGTTTCAATGTTAATTCTTCCAATCTCGTGATTTATCGAGTTCGATTTTAATTATTACAATTAAATTTACCCGATATGTACCTAATTTTCATAAAGAATGAAAAGTTTGTGAAATATAGTAAATAAATCGAAATAAACACCATATTTTGGAATGGAGTACTAAATATCATATGTGGATAGAGGAAAAAGAATGAAGGAAAAACAAGAAATTTGGTTGAATTTTACCGAGTGTTGCGCCAATACATTCGGTAAAAGGTAGTGTTTACCGAGTGTTGTGCTGATAACACTCGGTAAACATGTCATACCGTGACGCCGTTTGGCCCACGGTTGCTATCCTAGTGACGTGGCACCTCAATACCGAGTGTCTGTTTTTACCGAGTGTGCCCTTTCGGTAAAATTGTATTTTTACCGAGTGTCTTAATTTACCGAGTGTGCTGACTCGGTAAAGCGGTATACTACCGGGTGTTTATGTTTTCCGAGTGTTGGCACTCGGTAAATACTGTTTTCCGAGTGCCCCGACTTTTGACACTCGGTAATTGTCGGGGCACTCGGTAACTACACAGTCTCCGGTAGTGATAAATTATTTTCAGAATGTTATTTTCACCGTTGGTTCTCTGGAAACCATTGATCATAATATGTCACCGCTCGCTCATAATAAAATTAGTTTTTTACTGCTGGATTGTGTTGAGAACATACGGTGAAAAGCTCAGCATGACCAAAAAATTCAACTCATGACATCTAATAAGTTCTACGGGTGGAGTCTCTCTCTCACTCTTATCTCTTCCCCTCTCTCCCGGGCTTCATAGCTCCCTCCCTCTCCCTTTACTCCCTCAGCACGGCGGCCCCTCCAATGGCGCCCACCCATTGGCGCAGCAGGCCCTAGCATGGGTGGCCCACAGTATTGCTGCACTGGCCCTCAGCACATGGCAGCTGCCCAACAGGGCGATGTAACACATTGTGTCCAAAATCTGCTTATGGCCCATCTTATATGGAATGCTAGCCACATATGCAGTAGCCGCTAATAACCACCCTCGGCTATGCCACTCCTATACCTTCACAGGCAATATAAGAGTGCACCACACGCGTATGCAGGCTCATTCAACATGAGGAGCTAGGTCATAAAAAGATTTTGAACGTGGGTTGTTACAAGTGCCAATAGCGCGGGCATGCAAGCATTGGTGCAACGAGCCCAGTGTGGGCGCCACCGCGCACACGGTGGCTAATTAGGGATTTGACTATACAACTATTGGCATAATAGACCCTGGGTACTGTCACTGCATGGAAATAAGCTCAAATAGGACAGGGTGGGCTGAGCTTGCTAAGGAAGAGGCCCAACCCACTAAGGAAGAGGCCAAACCCAACAGGGTGCAACAACTACTTGGAAAGCAAGATAGCTATCAAATAGCCCTAGGACCTAGTTATTTGGATTGATTAGATAGGCTTTGGTATCATACAACATTCCGTCTGTAGCCCTACGCCAAACTATATGTGGGGAGGCAGGGGCGATCCCAAGATAGATTTATTGTCATTCGTAGCTAGAACCCTAGACAAACTCATCATCAGTGCCCTGTAAACCCGGATCATACTGTACACTTCATTGGATATTTAGGCGTCTGCCTACGCTGTACTCATCAGTATGCATATTTGTACTTGTACTACTCTTCTGATTTTCTGCGCACAGAACATTGATTTACTTGTTATATATGCTGGCATGCAGAGTGGAAATCAGTGTTTGCATCATCGATCTAGTGACTTTAGTTGCACATTTAGCAGCCTTTTATGAAGAATGGCCAAGATGGCCTCTCACCAGCTGTAGCAATTTTCCGTCAGGACAGTAACTGACCCGGCACTAGGAGTATAATTGTGTGGAATGCCATTTTTGAAAAAGAAAATATGTGGAATGCACTTTGTTGTACATTTACATGCGCCCTCGGTGGAAAATAAAATCTTGCTTTTGTACTTTGTTGATGATTAATTGATTGGTTGGGTTCGAGTGTTTGGATAGATTAGTCATTTAAGGCCATGTATAATGCAAAGCCCACTAGTGCAGACGTTTAAATAAAGAGAGATACAATAGAAGAGTCTCACTCTACAACGCAAGTGGCTCTTGCTCACTTTCTTTTCTATTAGAACTAGTCATAACTTTTGGTTTAGGGCCTGGTTGGAAGTTTAGTCCATGTTTTGAATGCCAAATAGAGAAGGCCCAAACATTAACTAATCACAGTTTAACAAAACTAATAGAGTCTAATTGGTAAGTAGAACTTATTAGAAAAAAGACATTTTTAACTAATTCACGTTTAGCCTATTATTCAATGACATACTAAACTTTAGTCCGGTGATCAAACATGCCCAGTCTGAGTGCCCGACATCCTAGGGACTGCTGGAGCTTCGGTGTCTCCTTTCCCTGTCTCCGACCCGTATCTCCGCACACGTGGATGGTGAAATTCATCTAGGAACTGGGCCTCCAATTTTAACATCCACAGCCCAATACAACTAAGATAAATCGAGCATTTAAAAAAAACTCTCAGTTATTTTTCGGTTGTTTCCTCATCTTCTCTCCCACACAGCACACACCTAAGTTGCAGGTTGCTTGATATAGCACGAGGCGCTTGATTCAGCAGCATCAAGCTTAAGCTCAGCGGCGTAAAGCTCAATTTTAGTTAAGGCGAGCATCTATTTCAGAGGTAAGAAGCTCCATTTGGGCCGCAGCAACTTGAAGCTTAAAATCAGGTTATGGTTGGCCAGGACCTCAACTTGCTTCATCTATGGGAATTTCGATTTGTCTGGGATAACAACTGTGCTAAAATTTTGTGTGGGGCCAACTAAAAGAGGAGCAGGCGAGCTTCCGGGCTGAAGCGTCTCTCCGTATGGTCCACGGTGGCATAAAAAACTCTCAACTGCTCATAGGCGCCGCCATGCCATGCCCATGTGTGTGTGTGTTGTGCAGGAAGCCAGGAATGAAACCGTCAATCATGGGGATAGAGTAATCAGATCAGATTGCAGCGGGCCGAAAATTAAAGCAGATGATTGGCCCCAAAGCCCAAATTGAAACAAGCGCAGAAGCCAGGCGTGGCAAATTATTCGTGATCTCGCATCGCAGTGGCTGTGCGTGGCACAACCTCGACGCCCCGATCGGCCACCGCGCCGCCGCCATCGCCATGGGGGTGCTCACCAGAGCGAAGAACAGGAGGCTGGATCTGGAAGAGCGCCTCGCCGACTGGATCAGCAGCCTCCCCGACGGCGTCCTCGGCGACATCGTCTCCCTCCTCCCCACCAAAGACGGAGCCCGCACGCAGGTCCTCTCCTCCCACTCAGCTGGCAGCAGCATCCTGGCCAGCAATATCTCCCACATCCTCTCTGCGCACCCTGGCCCTTGCCACCGCTTTGTCATGCCTCGACGCTACGTGGAGTATCCCTCCAGGAGGACCCTCGATGGCTGGCTCCGTTCCCCCCTACTCGACAACCTCCAGGAGCTGGACTTCAACAACAGTCTCCTACTGCCATCAGTGCACCGCTTATCGTCCACTCTTTGCGTCGCCCGCTTCGGGGCCTGCAGGTTCGCAGATGGAAACGATGCCAGCCCGCTCCAATTGCCACTTCTCAAGCAGCTGACACTTTTCGCAGTCGAAATCTCAGAAAGCTCTCTGCATGCCTTGCTCGCCGGCTGCCCTGTCCTGGAGAGCCTGTTGCTACTCCACAACAGCGGATTCCGTCGGCTGCAAATCGTGTCCTCGAGCCTCAGAAGTGTCGGTGTGGATTCTGGTGGTTTGTGTGGCATCAGGTTACAACAGCTCGACATTGACAACGCCCCGTGTCTGGAAAGATTGCTGTATTTTGGAAGAACTGAAATGAACATCTCGGTAATCTCTGCGCCAAGATTGGCTATTTTGGGGAAACTCTTTGACGGCTTTCCCAGGCTTCAGTTTGGGGCCACGGTTTTTCAGGTACATACATGTATCCGTCCTCACTTTCACCGTCATGACGGATCCAAATTAAATTAAACCCTTTTTGCCTATGTATCAATCATAGTGTGTGAACTCTGCCTTGCTTAACTCAGGGAGCAACCATTGTTAGCATGTCAGTGGTGGTCAGCAGTGTGAAAGTTCTTGCCATATATGATGTCAATCTTTGCCTGGATGCGCTTATTAACTTATTGAAGTGCTTTCCCCACTTGCAGAAGTTGTACATCGAGGTGAGCTAGCTGTCTCCGTACCAGAGTGTGCATCTGCATTCTTTTGTCGCTTGTAGAACATCAATATTGTTCTAAACTCAGGTTGGCCCATGATGCTATTTCTATGTTCACTTTGCCTTTTTCAGATAAAAAGAGTTTGGGGGAAAGATTGGTGTACATACCGGAAACTTGACATTGGTCTAAGAAAAATTGTGCTAAGAAATTACCGAGGCAACAAGTGACATACTAACTTGGCTAGCTTCTTTGTATCAAATGCACGAGTGCTGCAGTCAATGAGGTTTGATATAGAAGGCCGAAACGTTAGCACCAAATGGATAGGAAGGCAACACAGGCTGCTCCAGATCAAAAAGCAAGCTCCAAGGGGTGCTCAGTTTGACTTTGTATCTCCTAACATATTGACCGGGTCTCCTTACGAACATCGTGCCGAACAAGTACACGATCTATCAGCCGACCCTTTTCGCAAGTTTCATTAGTATATCAAATGACACCAATGGAACATTTCTCAGCAAGGTCTAGTCATTTTGCAGTGTGTTGACATTTGCTATCTCTTCTCAAATCATATTGTAATTTGTCAACCAATTTGGTGTTATATTTCATTTTAAATGGAGAACACTTGAGATTTCCATCCACTTCCATGGGGTTCTTTTTTTTTTTGCAATATGCATATATTTGTGTCAAATCATATTACTGTCTAATCCATTCTGTTTCCTCACGAAAGGACTTTTTGGTAAGCCACGAGGCCCATGAAAAAATCCAGTCTTGTTCCATGCGCAGCACCAACATGAGTAATTGTGGAATATGCTGTTAATTTATGTTAATGTATTTGATCTTCTATATATATTTAATATAAGAAGTCTGTCTTATTTCTGCATTTCCATTGGACTCTATATATCTCTCCTTAATAACTCATTGTTTGACCTCATTTGTGAATGGACTGCCCAAAGACTAAGGCACTTGGCAGTTTTTCTTCTTGGTAACTACTCCAGTGATTAAGGATACCATGATGCTTAAAAAAAAGAATCCATCATTATCCTATATATAGCCTTATCTCGTGATGTTTAAGGATGAGATAGGACATCTGATGTCGTGATGTTTTCAAAATTTGTCATTGTTGTCAAGCATTATTGGTCTTGTTTGTAAGCAGGTAAGACCTGCGATTCTACTCCTGAACTTCAAATCGTAATGGAATTGAAAGAATGGACATGGTTCCATTGGTTTATAAGAAGCAAATGAGCATTTAAATTCAAAGCACTAGAAACTACTACGTCATTTCTACCCAATTTTAGTTTATTAGTTAAACAACTTGTGGTTTGAAATTTAGTCAGTTAGGCCAAAACTTGTTGACTTCTTATGTTTCTCTACACTACCGGAAAAACGTCCTTTGCCGAGATCCTATACTTTTGCCGAGAGCAAAAACTCAGGCTCTCGGCAAAGAAGACGTTTGCCGAGAGGGGCTCTCGGCAAACACCGACCGTCGGCAAGTGACAGGATCGCCGTGGGCCTGCCTCTCGGCAAGAAACAGCTCTCGGCGAAGCGGGCCGTTTTACCGAGAGCCGCGCTCGGCAAAAAATGCCCGTCGGCAAAACGGGCCTTTGCCGTAGGCCGCGCTCTCGGCAAAATCAGGCTCTCGGCAAAACATTGCCGCGGGCCCATAGCCGTGACTTGCCCTGACGGCGTCACCGCTTTGCCGAGAGCCCCTCCGTTACTGCTCTCGGCAAACATCTTTGCCGAGCGCCGCTCTCGGCAAATATTTGCCGAGAGCCCCTCCCAGGCTCTCGGCAAATGTGGTTTCTATATTTCATGTGCATGTGTTTCTCTTCTCCTAACTCTCTCCAATTAAATTATTTTTTCTTTCATATGCTCCAAACTTTTTTATCTATAGACATACTACAGGTTGTACTCAATATTAAAATTTTGTGTATTTTTGTAATTATTTGCTATATATAATTAATTAATTGCATTTCAAGGAGTTTTTTTAATCGATTAAAATTTGAACAGAGATTGATTTAAACACGGGAAAAAATTAAGTAGAAAATGATATTCATGCTATTTATGCATTATTGAGGGCAAATAACATCTTGTAGACGTTTTTTCGCCTTTTATTTTACGAATCGAAGACCACGAACATAAGTCGCCCAACGATTTAAAAATTCTTAAAAAACGAAACGAAGTCGGAAAATTGTGATATTTGCAATGAAGTCATGGTATCACACTTGGAGGTTGTGGTAAAAAATTGAAAATGTTTCGCACAAGTGGTTGCATATGATTCTTACAATCTGAGACATCTGCGAATAAGTTTCATAAAGTTGAGAAGGATCCACTAGGATTTTCAAACAATGTCACGGTCGAATTAGTTTTGGAGTTCCAAACTTTTTGTATAGCCATTAGAGAGCATAAGTTGTAACACGCAAAATTTCGTATTTTTCCGGAGCCGTTTGCTGTTTATTAATTTTTTTTTGGATATTATTTGCCGAGAGCTTCAGGGGATTGCTCTCGGCAAAGGCTCTTTGCCGAGAGCAACTGGGCCCGCTCTCGGTGCAGATTTCTTTTTTTTTTACCTGGCCTGGATCAATGGTTTGCGGAGAGCTGGCTCTCGGCGAATAGGTTTGCCGAGAGCTGCTCTCGGGAAAGATTTATTTATTTTAGAAATATCATTTTTGTTCAGTTTGCCGAGAGCTACGCTCGGCAAATAATAATTTTTATTTTTTTTAATATTTTTTTGTGCAGTTAGCTAGTTAAAAAATTCGAACGGAATTTGAAAAAAAAATAACTTTATCGAGAGCCGGATCTGGGGGCTCTCGGCAAAGGTGTAAGGTTTGCCGAGAGCCTCCCAGATCTGGCTCTCGGCAAAGTGGCTTCACACATTTAACCGTTTTGGCGCCTTATCTCTCTCACTCTTCACGCACGCACACACACCGCCGCCGCCGCGAGGAGCGCCGCCCAGCTCGGTGTGCCGCCGCCGCGACCCTCTGCCCCCGCCGTTGCATGGTTGCGTGGCTGCGGTCGCTTCTGGCGGGCTCTGGCCTGCCTCTGCCCCCGCCGCACGCGTCCGACGACGACCTACGGGCCGCTCTCGCCGACGGCTCGATCCTCGCCGCGGCGCTCCGCAGGCTCGCCTGTGCTTTGACGCCCGACCAGGTAGGTCCTCGATCGCACGCACCACTAGTATGGGCTCCATTTGGGTTTTGGGTTTGTTGCTCGCCCGTGATCGTACGTCATCGCAACTGCAGGGCGGAGCCTCGGCGGCGGCGGTGGGGACGGGGAGCGCCTGGGCCTTCCTAGCTTTGCCGCCTCCGACCTTGACACGGTACGGTATTCTCCCTTGGACGACCATCAGCTGCTTCCGTAGCCTGTTGAAATTACTTCTGGACTGCACAAATGTATCGGATATATAAACAAATAATTTCTTCAATGATGGCTTTTTATAGTATCTGAATATGAACATCAACCACGTTCCAGTGTGATGCCGTATTCGAGTACTATGATGATGCACGGGGTGATTTGTAGACCTTATGGAATCTTTTACTTGGGTTATTCTTCACTCTACAAAAATGCTCGAGCAAATTAGTTCTTATGAAATGAAAGTACAATTATGTGTCAAATTTGTCTTTCTGAAAATTTACATTCTTTTAATCATTTAGCCTCAAATTGTCTTATGTGAAAAGAAAAGCTGAATGCTACAAGGGGGTGAACACTAAAAGCTAGCTTATCAAGTATGTTATGAAACAGTGCTGTGATATCTTAAAGAGTTGGATTTTATAATTAGGCGCGAAACTGCAGATATTTGTTTAATGATGCGCTCTACAGAATGACCTACTATAGGCTTCTTAAAAGCATCCTATTGTGTAGAAACAAGATCTTTTCCTTCATCTTGGTTTGTATTCCATAAGTCTCTGGCATTAGACTATTACCCTAGCAATATAGCATACATGAAAGTTAGTTGTGATCTTTAGTATGTGTTGACATGCATAACATCCAATGAAGCTCAGAGGTTCTTCCATCCAACTAGATTTGGCACTGTTTAGACACTCCAGTGACATGCATTTTGCAGCTTAGCATGTATTGCTTGCTGCTGTTCCTAGACATGCAAAGATCGTAGCTTTATTTTATAATGCAGCCTACAAGTACTGGCAATGCAAACTTGAAACCAGCACTGTCATTGTCAAGTCTGCATTTGCACATAATTGTTTCACCAACATACTTCTCATTTGGACAGTATACAGTCCGTCGGCTCTCGGCTCTCGGCAAACACCGGCCGTCGGCAAGTATACCGTCCACCTAAGGTATAACCACTCTTTCTTTGTCCTGGTCATGTATCTCCACGTAACCCAGTTAGGTGTCTCCCGTTCGAAAGAGATACAGTTAGAAATATGCAGATCTTTGCATATCAATAACCGTATCTGTTTCGAATTGTCCACGTTTTTTGGACAGCCCGAGGATGCGCAGATGGTGTTAGTTTCCATGGTCTGCTCCGATCCGAGACAGAGTTTCGACAGTACCTTCCTGTTGTTCTTCGGATACACAATCTCCCTGTCGGGACGTGTATTTGGAGAACAGCGGGGAGGTGCTGCCGAAATTCTGTTTCGGATAGGACCAGACCATGGGAACTAACACCATCTACGCATCCTCGGGTGGGATTAGGACCTATCCTTACCTATTAGATGGTAGGAACGACGTGTAGATGCAAGTCCATGGTTATATTTATTACTTGGTGATATATATGTTAGAGGATGGATGACCGTGAGTGGATGTACTCAGGCCGCCGGAGTGCCCGTGAGATTACCAGAGAATGGGTCGACAAGACCGAGGCTTTCATCAAGCAAGTATTTGACCAGCTCCCGGAGCGCGTGTTTTTTTGTCCTGCATCAAGCTGTAAGAAAACGTAAAGAGGCGGACAAAGGAGGTGATGACTTCACATCGGCTAGGCATGGATTCTGAAAAACTATACCCAGTGGACCCACCACGGTGAAGCCGATCGTGTGAGAGAGGAGGTGGTGAGACCACGTGTCGAGGATTACAATGCTGATGCGGGGTAGTAGTTTGGTTAGATGACTTTCACGAAGCACACTTCACGACGGACGGTGGCGGCAGCGGGAGGAGGAGCTAGAGGCAAGCGCAAAGCGTATTACAACATGTTGTCTGCGGTAGGAAACCCCTTCATGGCCACACACAGATTTCAAAGCTTGATGGCATTTCACGCTTAATGGCCTTAAAGTCCCAG